AGCAGGGGCCACGAAGAGCATAGATGCATGGGGCCACGAAAGGCAGCGAGGGGGCCACGAAAGGTTGCAACGGGGCCACGACGGGCACGGAGGGGGCCACGAAGGGGTGCAACGGGCCCACGAAGAGCAGCAAGTGGGCCACGAAGGGTTGCAACGGGGCCACGAAGGGCAGCGAGGGGGCCACAAAAGGGGGCCACGAAGAGCAGCGAGTGGGCCACCAAGGGCTGCAACGGGCCCACGAAGAGCAGCGAGGGGGCCACGAGGGGCAGCGAGGGGGCCACGAAGGGCTGCAACGGGCCCACGAAGAGCAGCGAGGGGGCCACGAAGTGGAACAACGGGGCCACGAAGGGCAGCGAAGCTGCCACGAACTGCTCTGCAACGGGCCCACGAACGGCAGCGAGAGGGCCACGAAGGGGAGCAACGGGGTCACGAAGGGCCACGCAGGGAGCCCTAAGCGTGAGCGCGTCTCTTGGGCGCACGAGTGGAGCGCGGCGCTTGAGCAACTTGCGGGAAATTCCAACGCAAGGGCGCGATTCTTGAATACATTGCAAGCAAGTACCCAGCGAGAGCGCGACTCCAGATCGCCGAAAGAGCGATGCCTGAATACATTGCAAGTAGGTCCCAAGCGAGAGCGCGATTCCTGCGTAAAATGCGAGGACATAGCAGGCGGGAGCGGAGGTCCTGGCTAAATTGTAAGGAATTCTCAGGCGGGAGCCGTTGTTGCTGCAATCTGGGTACCAACAACCCAGTCTGAGCACCGTGACTTTCCCGGATGAAAAACAGGGTGCGAGCCCCGAGAGAAGCACTTCAATTATTCAAACAATGTTCACCGGAGGAGGGATCAACAATATTTGTTTCAGCTGTGGGAGGTCAACAACAAGAACAATAACAATAACAGTAATAATACCAAGAACAACAGCCACGACAACCACAACAACATCAACAGCAGCAGCAATAACAATATTCACAGCAACACGCATTTTAACACTGCTCGTTCCGACATGCTCGCGTGCCATTCAGCACGTTTACGCCAAACCTTCGGTACACGCCCTCTGCGTCTTCGATCGCACCCCCTCTTGTGGCACATGTTCCTTACGAACCGCGAGTACGCAGCCCATATAACAAGGGAAGAGACGACGGATGGAAGGGGAGGGACAAGGATGGAGCACGGGAATAGCAGGAGGGGGGCTAGGAGCAGAAACCGCGTGGCAGAACCAGACGGGCAGATCGGGCGGGTAGACCCTAGCGGGCGGGTCGGGGAGGCGGGCCCAAGCGGCCAGGTCGAGAAGGCGTGATGCTGAAGCGTGCGTCTTGCATGAATCGCGAGGAGAACTCGAGCGATAGCGCGATTTCCAAGTAGATAATGAGAGGGGCCAAGGCGAGAGCGTGATTCTTGTGTGTCGAGGGCGCGGCGTTTGAATAAATGGCGGAGCGGTCCCACGCGAGAGCCCGATTCCTGCATAACTTGAGAGGGCGTCCCGCGCAAGGGCGCGATGTTTGGAAAAACTTGTGAGGAAGGATCAGGCGGGAGCCGTCGTCGTTGGTGTAGTTCGGGGCCCAACAATACAGTTTGGTGACACCCAGTTTTCCCTTATGAAAAAACCGGGTGGGTGCGAACCCCAGGGGGGGCACTTGAACTGTAAGAGACAACGGTTACCTGGCAAGGGTGGATCTTTAGAAATGAGCACTGGACCAAAAACGCCCATCCCCCTGACGTTGCCTTACGACTCGCCGCAGAAAGGCGCCGCGCGGCCGCCCCTTGTGGCGCGATGCCCGCCGAGAAAGGCCGGCGGCGCCCGTCTCTCTCCACAGGCCTGGGCCCAGATTTCCGACGGCATCATTTGTTTCGGCCGAGCGTCTTTCCTCGCTTTCGACCCCGTGGGCACCGTTCCCCAGACCCCTGGTCGATGGATCTGGCGCCCACGCGCCAGATCCACGGATCCCCAATCCATGTTGGCGCGCGCCCGAGTTAGGGCGCACCCCCGGAAAGGCTTGGCTGTCGAATTCTGGTCCCACGCCAGAAGGGGTCAGACCCTTTCGAGTCACGACAAGATCACGACGGGAGGTTTCTTTATAACTTCGGCCTCCGAGGGCCCTCACCGCGCCTCGGGACCGTCAAAAAAAACGACCCAGGATGAAACACCAGTCCCGGGGAATGGGTCGAGCCCTTTGGGGGTCGACGTCATGAAAAAATCATGGCGTCGGGGGTCTGGGGGTCAGACTTCCAGAGGCGGCCCACGCTAAAGTAACGGAAGTCAGTAACAAAAGTACGGGTCGGGGTGCGAAGGAGGGAGCAGGCGGGCGGCTCCCAGCAGGGCGAGGAAGGAGGAGGGGGGAGGGAGGAGGGGAGAGGACGAGGAGGAGGGCGGAGGACGAGGAGGAGGACGAGGAGGAGCAGGAAGGAAGAGGAGGAGCAGAGGAGAACAGGGAGGGGGAGGGGAGAGGGGGGGGGGGAGAGGAGGAGGAGGAGAGGGAGGAGGAGGAGGAGGAGGAGGAGGGAGGAGGAGAGGAGGAGGAGGAGGAGGAGGAGGAGGCGGAGGAGGAGGAGGAGGAGGAGGCGGAGGAGGAGGAGGAGGAGGAGGAGCAGGAGGAGGAGGAGGGGGGGAGGAGGAGGAGGAGGAGGACGAGGAGGAGGAGGACGAGGACGAGGAGGAGGAGGACCAGTGGAAACCCAAGAGTCATCAACGATGTTGTAATTAACCCTTCCTCCAAGCTCACTCTTCATAGGCCCCTACAACGGCTCATCTCCATTGAGGGAACTGCCTCGTTGGAAGACATCAGTCTGAAGATCCGGAAGCGTGCCAAAATATTGTTCTCGGGATTTCAATGCCACGTATCAACCTGGTTGCTGCGTCTTGACGATCCAGAATCGTACCAGAACGCCATTTGTGAATTCCAAGACAGCGAATCAACATAACTGTTGCGCCCGCATAGACCTGAATCCTCCCAAAACACCCTTTCTGGTACGCTGGTCATGGGAATCCGTGAAACTCCTGCAAAGTTTAAAAACGAATGTGCGCGGCGCTAAGGCGAGAGCCACATTTTGAAAAGGAACCGCCCTCAATCCGTAAAGCTCTTGCAATGTTTAAAACGAAAGTGCGCGGCGGTAAGGCGAGAGCCACATTTTGAAAACGACCCGCCCTCAATCCGTGAAGCTCTTGCAAATGTTTAAAACGAATGAGCGCGGCGCTCAGGCGAGAGCCACATTTTGAAAACCACCCGCCCTACATGTGTGAAATTGCTGTCACGTGTTAAGCTTCAGAGTCATAAGCGGTGGGGAAATCTCAGGCGAAACGCCCGGCCCGCCCTTAAAACTGGCCTCGGTGTGCGACAGGGAGGAATTATCTATGAGGGGAAGAAATGGAGGAGGAGGAGGCGGAGGAGGAGGAGGAGGGGGAGGAGGGAGAGGAGGAGGAGGAGGAGGAGGAGGAGGAGGAGGAGGAGGAGGAGGAAGGGAGGAGGCGGAGGAGGGGAGGAGGAGGAGGGGGAGGGGGAGGAGGAGCAGAAGGAGGAGGAGGAGGAGGAGCAGGAGGAGGAGGAGGAAGAGGGTGGAGGAGGAGGAGGAGGAGGAGGAGGAGGAGGAGGAGCAGGAGGAGCAGGAGGAGCAGGAGGCGGAGGCGGAGGAGGAGGAAAAGGGGGGACTGGGAAAAAACAAGCTAGGTGCGCTAGCGTCACATCTGACGTCCTAGCCCTCCCTCCCATCCTTTACCATGGCGTAGATCTCGTATCTATTCGCACAGTTGGATGTTGAGCAGGGCAATGATCCCAAGAGGGAACGCGATGGATGGAAAAACATGGCGCAGAAAAGCACGGCAGAGCTTAGCATGTCATAGCATGGCGTGGCATTGCATAGTGAAGCATTGGATCACAAAGCATAGCAACGCAAACCATGGCATTACACAGCCGTGCACAACACAGCATCGCATTGCATGCCGTGGCATGGCCCCGGATGACTTGGAGAGTAAGTGGCCCGTCTACGAGAAGACAGGGCTTGTCCGGAATGCCGGCTCCCAGTCCTCCGCAACCGTGTCTCCCCGATGTGGGCGTTTTCGTATGTCAAGTGCCCTCCAGAGGCGCGAGAACGAGGCAAGCGCTGGAGCGGGAGCGACCGAAGCGCGGAAATTAGGGCGGCGCTGCAGCAGGAGCAACATTTTGAAAGAACCCGAAACGACCAGATTGAAAAACCACATAGCCAAAGCCAAGTAAAGAAATCCGGTGTGTAACAAAAAACGCGGAGAGGACGGGAGACTCTCCAGACAGAGTCAGGGGAGAGAGGGGAGTAGTATTCATGATGTGAAATTGACGAGGAGGAGGACGGGGGAGAGGAGGGGGGAGGAGGATGAGGGAGAGATGGGGAAGAGAGGGAGAGAGAGAGATAGAGAGAGAGAGACACAGAGACAGAGAGGGAGAGGGAGTGATGAAAAGGAACGTGCGCACGCATCCTCTCCCCATGAGGAGATTGTTGGGGGTGGGATGCGTTGGTGCGAGGTCGCGATGCTCGTGTCCCAGCCCCCCCCACCCTGCTTCGGCTGCGCCCGATAATGAGATCCTTTCTCGCCTTCACCCACACGCCGCCCTCACTTCCCCGCGGATGTGTGGCTGCGCGATTATAAGCGAACGACGACGGCGGCGAACCACCAACGACAAACGACCACAAACGGGCGACGACCGACGAACGACGAACGACGACGACAAGCGACGAACGACGAAGAACGAATGGTTACCAGGACGGCGACTGTCGACGAACGGCGAACGACGACAAACTACGGACGACGAGCGACGAGTGTCGAACGACGCCACACATGCGGGCGTGTCGCAGCGCGACCACCGCGCGGGGGGCGGTGTGGGGGGTCGGCATGAAAACTTGAGAAGCTTCTCGGGAACCTTCAGTCCGCGTCGGGATTCCTTGGGCGCGGACTCGCGCGCCGCTTCGGCCGCGGCCTCGGCGCGCGATGTTCTCGCGGGGGTCGGCGCGCGGCGCAAGGCGGCCTCTTCTCGCCATGGTGCAGCGCCCGCGCGCGCGGGGGAGAACTCGCGCGGAGCAGCGGCGAAACACCCTGAGCGGAAATTCTCGCGCTGGGGTCGGCGCGCAGCGGCAGGCAGACTCCTCGCGCGACTGAGCAGCGCTCGAGCGCACGGGCGAGGACTCGCGAGTCGCGTCGCCAGTGGCCGCAGCACACGACTTTCGCGCGGGGGCCGGCGCGCGGCGCCGAGCTGATTCCCACGACGGTAGCGCTCGCGCGCGCAGGAGAGGACTCGCGCGCCGCACCGGCGATGAGTTCGGAACGCAAATTCACGCGCGGGGATCGGCGCGCGGCGGCAGGCAGCTTCCTCGCGCGAGTTGGCAGCGCTCGAGCGCGCGGGGGAAGGCTTGCGCGTCGCATCGGCAGAATGATCTGTCGGCGCCGTGGCTTCGATCCGCAAAAGTAGTGGCGCCTCGCTGCGCGACTGGACACGCACGCGCGCGCGGATGCCCGCTGCGGACGCGCCGCAAACGCGCCGCGTATGCGGGCGCATCGCTACGCGACCACCGCGCGGGGGGAGAGGATGGGGGGTCTGCAAGAACAAATAGAGTTGGTTTCTCGGGGTCCGTCAGGCCGCGTCGATTGAAGCTTCCTGTGAATTTTCTGTGATGTCCTGGTGGCCCCCGTGGCTCCCCCAGGGCTTTCTTGAGCCTCCTCTGGGGCCTCCCTTAGGGCCTCCGGACACTTCGTGGGGCTTCCTGGAGCGTCTGGGGGCGCCTGGGAGCGCTGGGGAGCGTCTGCGACGCTCGGGGAGCGGTTGGCGGCGCTCGGGGGCTTGTGGGCGCTCCTGGGGCGTCCGGGAGCGCTTGGGAGCGGCTGGGAGCGTCTGGGAGCGTTTGGGAGCTCCTGCGCGTGCGTCCGGGAGCGTATGGGAACCTCTAGGATCGCCTGCGAGCGTGTGGAGGCGTCGGGTACGTTTGGGAGCGCCTGGAGCCGCCTGGAGAGCATTTCGGGTTGCTTGGGAGCGCTTGGGCCCTCCTGGAGCGCCTGGGAACGCATGGAGATCTGGGGACTCTTGGGAGCGCCTGCGAGCGCCCTGGGCCGCCTGAGGAGCGCTTGGAGCCGCCGATGAGCGCTTGGGCGCTCCTGGAGCGTCTGGAAGAGCCTAGGGACATCTCAGGAGTTTGGGGGCGCCTGGGGCCGCCTGGGGACCGCCAGGCGTTTCCTGTGAGCGTTTGGGCGTTCCTGGAGCGCCTGGAGGTGGCCGGGAGCGATTGGGAGCGCGTGGGAGCGTTTGGGCCGCCTGCTGAGCGCCTGGGGCCGCTTGGGAGCACTTGGGCGCTCCTGGAGCGTCTTGGAGTGTTGGGGGGCGCCTGGGAGCGTGTGGTCCGCGGATCTCGTGGCGGATCCCAAGACTCGCAGCTTCGGGGGCGCCGTTCGTATGTTGGTTTGTTCCAAACCCTTATGTGGAGTTGGGTCTTCGCTTTGAATTCGCAGCGCCGCGCGTCTCCTCCTTCTCCTTTTGCTTCTCCTTGTCTGTGTCCTTGTCCTTGTCCTCCTCCTCCTCCTCCCGTCTTTTTCCTCCTCCTCATCATCATCCTTCTCCTCCTCCTCCTCCTCCTCCTTCTCCTCTTCCGTGCATTTTACTTACACATATTTTCTACCTGTCGCGCCCCGGGGCAAGCTTTTGGGGCGGGTCGGGCGTTTCGCTTGCGACCCCCTCATCACATGTGACCCTGAAGCTTAAACATTGGCCATAGCTTCACAGACGGAAGGTGGGTCGTTTTCAGAGCTTCCTGAGGGCGGATTGAGGGCAGGCCGTTTCAAGAGCTTAAACATTTTCCAGAGCGAATTGAGATTGAGGTTTTCAGAGTTTTATGTGTTCCAGAACTTCACGGATTGAGGGCGGGCCGTTTTCAAAATGTGGCTCCGCCTTAGCGCCGCGCACATTCGCTTTTAAGATTCGCCAGAGCTTCACGGAGTAAGGGCGAGACGTTTTCAAAATGCGGTTCTCGCTTTAGCGCCGCGCACATTCGTTTTACAAAATGTGCCAGAATGTCACGGGTTGAGGGCGGCTCGTTTTCAAAATGTGGTTCTCGCTTGAGCGCCGCGCACATTCGTTGCTTTTAAATTCGCCAAAGTTTCACGGGTTCCCATGATCAGCGTACCAGAGTTCTTGTGTTGGAAGGATTCAGGATCATGATGGTGCAACAGTTAGGTTGGTTCGCGGTGCTGAAGTCCCAGGAATGGCGTTCTGGCGCGATTCAGGATCGTCAAGGCGCAACAGTCAGGTTGACCCGTGGCGCTGGAACCCCGAGAACAATGTGTAAGCATGCTTCAGGGTCTTCAAACGGATGTTTTCCAACGAGGCAGCTCCTTCAGTGGACATGAACCGTTGTAGGGGCGCATGAAGAGGGACCGTGGAGGGAGGGTTGATTCCAACATCGTTGGCGACCTTTGGATTTGCACTGGCCTTCCTCTTCATCGTCCCCCTCCTCCTCATCCTCCTCATCATCATGTTCTTCTTCCTCTCCTCCTGCTCCTCATCTCCCTCCTCCGCATCATCATCAGCATCCTCGCCCTTCTTCTCCTGCTTGTCCTCCTCCTTTTCCTCCTGATCCTACTCATCCTCATCCTCCTCCTTCTCGACCTCCTCCACCTCCTCCTCCTCCGTCTCCTCCTCATCCTCCTCATCCTACTCCCCCTGCTCCTCCTCCTCCTCCTCCTCCTCCTCCTCCTCCTCCCTCCTCCTCCTCCTCCTCCTCCTCCTCCTCCTCCTCCTCCTCCTCCTCCTCCTCCTCCTCCTCCTCCTCCTCCTCCCCCCCCTCCTCCTCCTCCCCCCCCCCCCTCCCTCCTCCTCCTCTTCCTCCTCCTCCTCCTCCTCCTCTTCCTCCCTCCTCCTCCTCCTCCTCCTCCTCCTCTCCTATCCTCCTTCCTCCTCTTCTCTACTCCTATTATTCCTCCTCCTCCTCCTCCTCCTCCTCCTCCTCCTCCTCCTCCTCCTCCTCCTCTGCCTTCTCCCCCCCCCTCCTTCTACTACTCCTCCTGCCGTGCTCGAGGAGGCACACCTGCTGCCGTCCATCGGGGCGCGCCTGGCTTGCTCGAGCTATGCCACCTGCGTCACGCCAACCTCAGCCGGGGAGCTCGACTTTTTCTGCGTCGACGTGCTCTCGGAGGTGCAACACGTGCGCCGCTGCGACTGCTTCTCCGTGCGCACGCACAGGGCGGTGGTCCTCTGCCTGGCGATGCAACCTCCTGGCGCCACAGTCCTGCGGCTGCACCGCCCGCGGCCTTGCCCTGCCGCGGCCCTGATCGGGCCCCAGCTGCCTCCGCCCGATTGGCAGGACGTGCTCGCGGACCTCCACACGGTGGACATTGCGGCGGGGCTTGACGCCGCCTGCGGCCGCGTCCTCGACCTCTACGAGGACGAGCTGGCGCAGCACTTCGGCTTGGTGGAAGGCCGCGAGGCGGACCGCTACCGAGAAAGGAGCGAGGGCGCCCGCATGGCCCAGGTGCAGCTCCACCGTCCGTGCGCACGGTTGCAGCCCACATCTCAGACTGACCTTTCCGAGCAGCACTGGAGCTGGTTCGCCGAGCGGGTACGCGAGCGGCAAGTTCTCCGACAGGCTGGCGGCATGACCCATGATCGCCGCTTGCAGGTGCGGCTGCTGCGCTTCAAGCCACACGTCGAGGGGGCAGACGCGCAGCTCTGGCAGGCGTGGCGCCGCTTGGTCCGCAAGCTGCAGCTCCTCCAGCAGACCGTCGTCGACGAGCTCCTGCAGGACCTCCAGCGTGCTGTCAATGCTGCGGTGCGGAGGGCCGTGCGTCGTACCGCAGGTACAAGGCCTGGCTCGACATGCCGCGCGGGGTGACGGTGGGGGACGGCGTGCGCAAGGGCTTCCGTTGGATACGTGAAGCTGCGCCATGTGCTGCGGACCGCTGGCAGCCCGCTGTTGGGTTGCAGTCTGCGCAGCTGGTGGCCGACGCGGCCGCGAGGTCGTGGCACGCGCTCTGGAGAGACGGCGCGGGGGGTGGAGCTGTAGCCTGGCCTGCGGAGCTGGGGCCCCTGCCCACCCTGCCGACCGCAGAAGACCACGCGCTCCCGCACATCACTGGCCTGGGATGCGACGCCTTCTACCCACGGCACATAACGGTGCTGGGCGACGCTGCGCTCGAGGCCTGCATCGAGCTCTGGCGACGGATGCTGCGGCTCGGCCGTGTGCCTCGCGCGCTGGCTGTGACGCAGATGGTGCTGACCCCCAAGCCCGGGGGCGGCGTTCGCACCTTCGGCCTGCTGCCAGGCATCCTGCGGCCCTTCACGAGGTGGACCAAGAACACCACAGGTGCGCAGTGGGCCTCGCTCCACCACCGCGACTACATCTACGGCACGGCTGGCCAGAGCTGCGAGACCTTTGCGTGGATCCAGGCGGCGACTGCGGAGGTGGCGACCAGCCGCGGCCGGGCTGCCTGCACGGTGCTCATGGACCTCACGATGGCGCACGAGCACATCCCTTGGGCGCTACTGGCGGCTCGCGCCGAGGAGCAGGGCTTCAACATGGTCATGATGCGACTGCTGATCCAGCTGATCCAGCTGCGGGATGCCACGCACTGCGTGATACAAGGGCGTGGCCACGCTGGCTTGCGAGCCTCAGCGCGGCGCGGTGGCGGGCTGCAGCTTCGCCGACCTCTGCATGCGGTTGTTCCTGCTGTCGAGGCTCGACGCGGTCGCTGCGTTCCGCGCGGCCCAGCTGGGCAACGTCGTGGACGACATCCAGCTCGCCCAGGCAGGCACGGCCAGGCGAGTGGCTGCGCAGGTGAGCTTCGCCTACGAGCAGCTGCGCCGCGGGCTGCTGGAGGACGGCCTGGCGGTCGACGACGGCAAAGGCGCGGTGCTGGCCAACTCCGCCGAGCGCAGCCGCGAGGTCATGCGGCGCTGCGCGGCGCCGCGCGGGAAGGCCCGCCGCTCGGCGCGGAACCCGGGCGTGGACAACGCCTGCGGCAGGCGGCCAGGCACGGCCACGAGGGCCAAGCGCTTGGCCACAGTGGCACGGCGCTCGGCCCGCATCCGAGCGATCAGGGCTGCGCGAGGCAAAACACAGCAGCTCGTCTCACTCGGACTGACGCCCGCCGGCACGTGGGGGGGACGGGGGGGCGGGGAGGGCTTGGAGCGGGATCGAACCGATGCGACGAGCAGCGCACTCAGCTTTGTTCGTCCGCACTGCCCTTCGCTCTCTCACGTTAGGCCTCCACCTCGCCCCCGCGGCGCCGAGGTCGGTCGACCCTGCGCGTGCGTGCACCGTGAGCCCGATTTATACGCTCGCCCAGGCTGTCTGGGAGGCTTGGGTTTCTCGGGAGTGGATCGCCCGTCTTCTGCGTGCCCCCGACGCGGGCTCTGGAGGCACGCGCCGGCACAAAAAGCGAGCGGGCCGCTGTTCGAGGACCGATTTCTGCTGCCCTGGCCACTTGTAGGCGCATAGGCTGGAAGGTTGGCCCTGGGGTGTGCATGTTAGCTACCAGCGAGGGCGTCAAGGTTCATCTCACCACCACTTGCCCTCGCTCGATCCTCCACCTCGCGCGCCTGAGCACCGAGGATTGGCTCCTGGATCGAGCGCGGCTGCGCACGGAGCACATGTCTGCCCTTCCCGCCCGACCCTACCTCGCCCCCCCTCCGTCGCCTTTGCACTGGGGCCTTGCGCCCGGAGTGGACCTCGAGGCACCAGGCTACTCTTCGCGCGATCGTTTCGAACGGAGTTCGGGACCAGGCTCGGAAGCATCGTCACGGCCCGGTGGCCAGCCCGACCTGCCCACTGTGCGTTATCGAGTCTTGTCCAGGCACCTTCTCTCCGCGGGTCTCGGGCGAATGCCCCGCGACGTGGGCTTTTTGTTTCTCGAGCGCGACCACCCCCCCCCTGCGGCCCGACCTCGGGGCGCACTCGGCCTGGGCCCGCTGGAGGCGCGCTCTGGTCCCCGATCCTCTGCCCTCGGCCCCTGGCCCCACGACCCCCCTCCTCGTCAAGTGGCTCAAGCGACCTGACGCTGGTAGCATCGAAGGCGAGGCCTTCGGCGACGGCCCCTGCGCCTCGCCTGCGCAGGGCGACCCCCAACTCCGTAGAGCGGGATGGTCTGTTGTCCAGGTAAACGCCAATAGCTGCCTGGCGTCTTCGCTGCGCGGCGTTCTACCTGGGCCGCACCAGGCGTCGGACCTCGCGGAGGCCTTCGCCCTGCCCACGTACCTGACGCGTGTGGCCATGGGGCCATTGTGTTTCTACTCGGACTGCGCCTGGGCGGCCTCGAGCTTCGCGCGCGGGCGCGCCGAGACGACGGGCGCACAGTTCGAGGCCGCGGACCTGTGGTCTCGCATTAGGGATCGGGTGGATGACATCGGGGGCGGGGTCACCGTGACCGAGGTCAAGGGCCATGCTCGCCGCTGCCACGACGACGCGGTCGAGGGTGGCATGATCAAGCGCTGGGGCAATCATTTGTCCGACCGCGGCGCTCGCGCTGGCGCCGCGCTCCACCCCGCTGACGAGGTGACGGTGGAGCGCGCGAAGCGCTCCTTTAGCCTGGTGACCGTTGTCGCCAAGTTTCTGGCCCTTGTGCTGCGCTCTGCAGAACCGAGACAGCACGACGCGCCACGGCGCGGTCACTTGCCCCGCGCGCAGCAGCGAGGCCGCGCCCCCTAGCTGACGGCTGACACTGCGCTGCCCGAAGGCACGCAGGAGCCCGCGGCGCGCGGCGCGGGCTTCCGCTGCGGCCGCTGCCATCGCGCCGCTGGGGCGCGCGGCGCCCTCGCGCCTGCCGCGTGCAAGCCAGGCGGCGGCCACCGCGTTTGGAGCGTGGGCCCCTTCTTGTTCTGCGCGAGGTGCGGGGCGCACTCGAGTGAGAACGCCCAGCTCCTCCCGCAGCCTTGCCCGGGGGCCGTTCCCCCGCAGACGCGGCCCCGACTGGGGCGCCGGTGGGCTGGACAGCACCCTCGCACTGGCTGGCCCTTGCCCGCGGCCAGCGGCCACGGTGGGCCTCGGCCGTTCGCGGACTTCGTATTCGACGCCCTGGTCGGAGACCGCCGACGGCGCGTAGGCCTCCTGGCTGCGCCTGCCGGCACTCCCCATAGGGGGAGGTGCTCGGGCCCTTTCTTTTCTTCAGTCGGGCCGTGCCCGAGTCGCCTGGCAGTGCCTTGCGCGCTTCGCACCGCGCCTGATGAAAACGTCTCCTTCTCCTCCTCCTCCTCCTCCTCCTCCTCCTCCTCCTCCTCCTCCTCCTCCTCCTCCTCCTCCTCCCCCTCCTCCTTTTCCTCCTCCTCTTCATCCTCTTCAGCGGCATCGCCTTGATACCAATCACCAGCCTCATCAGCATCATCACATGTCCGTGACAACCCTGACACGGTTCGCACCCCCCCAGGGAGCTCCACCAAAGGCCCCAGCGACGTCTCGAGCAGCGCAGGAGGCTTTACCCTCCTCGTCTTGCTTGCCTTGTTCGTATGTTGGCAGACCCCTCACGTGCTTCGCGGCCTGATGGGGGAGCTCCACCGATGGTCCCACTGGCAGGGTTCACACGCATTTCGGCTGACCCCCCACACGCTTCGTGGCCCCATCATGGGGTTCCACAGAGGGCCCCAGTGGCAGGGTTCACATGGGTACCCGCCCCAGTTTGGCTGACTCCTCACACGCTTCGCGGCCCCACAGGGGGCGCCGATTACCCCACAGGTAGGACTCACCTGGGTACCCGCCCCATTTCGCCACTCCTCTTCCTCCTCCTCCTCCTCCTCCTCCTCCTGCTCCTCCTCCTCCTTCTCCTCCTCCTCCTCCTCCTCATCCTCCTACTCCTCCTCCTCCTCCTCCTCCTCCATTCCTTTTCCTTATGAATAATTTCCCCCTGTCGACACCCGCGGCAAGTTTTTAGGGCGGGCCAGGCGTTTCGCCTGAGATTTACTCACCAGTCATGACTCTGAGAATTCAAAATTGGCAACAGCTTCACACATAAAGGGCGAATGGTTTTCAAAATGTGGTTCTCGCCTTAGCGCCGCGCACATTCGTTTTAAAATTGTGCACGAGTTTCACGGATTGGGGAGAGCCCGTGTTCAAAATGTTGTTCTCGCCACAGCGCCGCGCACATTCGTTTCAAGCATTTGCAAGAGCTTCACTGATTGAGAATAACCCGTTTCAAAATGTGGCTCTCGCCTTAGCGCCGCACACACTCGTTCTAACAAATTTCAGGATTTTCACGGATTGAGGGCGGCTCTTTTTCAAAATGCGGTTCTCGCTTTAGCGCCACGCACATTCGTTCACGGATTCCCGCGATCAATTTACCAGAAATGGCGTTTTGAAGAATTCTGGATTTTGCGGGTGCAACAGATACGTTGGTTCGCAATGTTGAAATCCCAAGAATGGCGTTCTGGCACGATCCAGGATCGCCAAGACGCAACAATCAGGTTGATCCGTGGCGTTGGAATCCCGAGAACAATGTGTTGGCATGCTTCCAGGTCTTCAGACGGTTGTCTTCCAACGAAGTAGATCCCTCAATGGAAATGAACCGTTGTATGGGTCCTATGAAGAGCGAGCTTGGAGGGAGGGTGTAATCCAACATCGTTGATGGCTCTTGGGTTCACACTGGACTGGTCCTCCCCCTCCTCCTCCTCCTCCCCCTCCTCCTCCTCCTCCTCCTCCTCAGCAGCAGCAGCAGCATCGTCCTCATCTTCACCATCACCATCATCACCACCATCACCATCACCATCACCATCGCCACCATCATCAGCAGCAGCATCAGCATGGCGGCCTCAGAAGTGGGCGCGAGGCCCGAGGAGCGCCGTGGGCGCGGGCGCGTTCCTTCCCCTCCCCCTTCCCCTCCCCCTCCCTTTCACCCCTCCCCTTCCCCCCTCCCCTTCCCCCCTCCCCCTCCCCCTTCCCACCTTCCCCCATCCCCTCCCTCTTTCCAGTCCCCTCCCTCCCCGGACACTGTCCGCTCGGCGGCAAACAGGCAGCCGCACCAGCACCAGCAGCACCAGCACCAGCACTAGCAGCAGGTTGCTCCCCCTTGCCGCTCCTCCTCCGAGGCCGCGGCGCGCCCGCGACGGGCCCCGCGGCCGCGGCCGCGGCCGCGGCGGCCGCGGCGGGGGACCTGCCCGGCCTCGACGCGGCGGGGGACGTCCTCGGCCTTCGGGGGCAGTGTTCGGGGGGGGAGGGGATGATTTGTCCCGAATCGAGTTTCGAGGCGTTCGGGCATGTTCGTCGGCTCTCGGCGGTCTTCCAGTCTCGGCGTGCGTTCCAGCAGCTGCGCCTCGCCGAGAGCGTTCCGCGGGGGTCCCGGATCGCCCCGAACGGCCGCCAGAGGCCCGAGCTATGATCCGAAAACCACCAGACCCTCGGGCAGTGCCAAGGGGGTTCACCACTACACAGACATGCTGGCACCTTCGTAGGGCCCATTCCGATTCGATCGATCCGATTCGATGTCGATGTCGGCCAGCCCGACGATCCGATGCCGCCCAGTGCTGTGTGGCGTTGTTGTTCCTCCTGGCGCAGCCGGTCCGATGCGATCTCGACTCCGTGACGATGCAGGCCGACACGACGCGCATTCCGATTCGGTCCGATTTCCCGATTCGATGCTGACTGATCCTGCAAGGGGTCGGCCACGCGCGGAGGGCGGCAGGGGGATGGGGGAAGGCTTCTGAGAAGGAGGCCGCCTCCTAGAAGGCGCGGGCCTTCTCTGTAGATGTAAGGCTGGCGCCTTTGGAGAAGCAGCCTCCTTCTAAGAAGCCTTCCCCCCTCCCCCTCCCCCCCCCCTCTGCGCGCCGCCAAAGGGTGGTCACCACTGGCGGACATGCTCGCGTCGAGAGAAGATCACGACGGGAGTTGTTTGGCCGCCCGCGGCCGCCGGGGAGGGGCCCTCGCCGGGCCTCCCAGCATCGTCAACAAAAACACCCAGGAGGAAAAGACCACCCTGGGGAAGGGGTGTAGACTTCCAGGGGGGCCCGCAATGAAAATACCACGTCGTCGCACGTCTGGGCAGTGCGGGGGGGTCACCCGCTCCTCCTGGAAGTCGAGGAGTTCAGGATCGGTGCTCGAGGAGGTGTTGGGACGTCCGGGGTCGTCTTGCAAGGCTCTGACGTGCTCTTGGGGGGCCGGCGGGCCCTACTCCCCTCGAGGAAGCGGCGTTGTCTCGAGCCAGTGGCGACCCCCCTGATGCTAGCGACGCGAAGCGTCTCTAGAATCGGGCGGGTGGCAGTGGGGAGTGACCTAAATGGAGGGGTGCGAAAAAAGGACCCCTGTAGGCCCTTCTCTTCACCCCCCACGTAAGTCACCCCCCCTCACCACCCGCGCGGGGCTCCAGAATCAGAGGGGCTTCTAGCAACGCTTCCGCGTGACCCCACCAGCCCATCCAGAAACGATGCCCAGGCGGGCTGCACTGATCAGGCATGTGGAGGAGCGTGCAGTGTAATAAAGGGCTGGGGAAGCCGTCGTACCCCAAAACGGTGAGGAATCGGAGGAGGAGGAGGAGGAGGAGGAGGAGGAGGAGGAGTTGCGACGCCCTTTGGCACTGCCCAGGCCTGGACGACCAGAGCGGGGCGTTCTGGGACGCGCTGGTCGACGCGGGCGGGCTCGGCGCCAAGTGGGAGAGGCTCGGCAGGCGCCGTGGGCCTAAGACAGATCCGTATTCCACGGCCTCGCGGGCCAGCCCCTGGGCCGCGACCCCGTGAATCTCTTGAGACCTGACGTTGCGAAAAAGATGCAGCATCGCGAAAAAACAATTGACGCTTCGCGCAACCCCACCAGCACATGCAGAGACGAGCCCTGAGGAGTTGCCTCGATCAGGGAAGTGGGCAGCACACAGAGGAAAGGTCCCTGACGGAGCCTTCTTGGGACACTCCTAGGCGCTCTTGGGGCCGTCTTGGGGCTCTCTTGGGGCCTTTCTTGGGCCTCTCTTGGGGGTCTCTTGGGAGCCTCCTGGACGCCCCTTGGGGCCTCTTGCGCGCCTCTTGGGGCCCTCTTGAGGCGCTCTCGGGAGCCTTGGGAGCGCTCTTGGGGCCATCTTGGAGGATATCGATCAAAACATTGGGAGCTCCAATTACGACCCCCCCCCCCTCGGGAGCACCAGCCCCTCTTGGAGCGCTCTTGGAGCGCTCTTGGGCGCTCTTGGGGCCGTCTTAGGGCTTTCATGGGCCTCCCTTGGGGCCCTCTTGGAGCTGCCTTGAGGCCTCGGAGGGCCATCGGAAGCGAAAAGGCGAGAAGGCAAATTTCGTTGATCGTCCTCGGGTTGGTTAAGGATTTGGGCCTCTTGACGGCCTCCTGGAGAGGCTCTGTGGCCACTCGGAGCCTTCTTGGAGCTGTCTTGGGGGCTCTTGGAGCATCTTGGGAGCCATATCGAGCCATCTTGGGCTATCTCGAGCCATCTTGGAGGTCATCTTGAGCTCTCTGAGGCCTTCCTAGACCCATCTTGGGCCATCTTGGACGCTCCAACGCCTCGGGACCCCTCCCCCCTCCAGGTCCAGGGGGGGTAGGGGGAGGGGTCAAGCTACCCACCCGCCCGCAAGCCGTCTAGCTCACGCCCACCCACCCTCCCACCACATAAGTAACACCCGAGCCTGAGCATGTTCAGCGGTCGCCTTTGGATGGACAGCTATTGGGAACCAAAGCCGACCCCAGGTGCGCGACGCTTGGGCGAGGTGCGCCACGCGTGCCAGGGGCGCCACGCGCGCTTGGCACCCCTGGGGCCCGAGCGTGCCAGGCACGCCTGGTGCGCCAGATGCGCCACGTGCTCCGAGTGCGCCAGGTGTGCCGCACACTCCAGCCGCGCCAGGTGCGGAATTTTCGGGACACGTGCAGAGTGTGTCAGGTGCGCCTGCGCACGTGACAGTACACATCGGGAAACATGTCGGCCCCGCCATCCTTGTCAAAAACCAATGCCCATCCTTGTGCCTGGTGGTCCTGCACACAGCAGGCCACGCGCCACCACCCCCGCGGTCCCTGTCAAAAACAATGTGACAGTGATCGCGGGGTGGCCGCGCATGATCCAGATTTAGCCGCGAGGTGCATGTTGTATTGTTTTCTGTTAGGGATGGTAGCCTTGCGCACGGCAGTGAATATGCTGGCGCCCCCGCCGTCCCTGTCAAAAACAATACAAAGTGTTCGCGGGCCTCACGAGCATGACTCAAGATTTTGCCCCAAAGTGTACTGTGCATTGTTTCTGGACAGGGATGGGGGGGGCGCATCGGGTTGGCCGCGCATGTTCCAAATGTGGAGGCCGAGTGCGGTTTGTATTGTTTTTGACGGATGGGTTTGTATTGTTTTTGACGGATGGTGGGGGGCAGGTCGGCACGGTGTCTTCATGGTCCTTGGTTGGACGCCGGTCGCTTGGGGGAGGCGGTGTACATTCATAAGGAACAGTGATCAAGACACCCCCTAGATAGCAAGCCGTTTAGCTCACTCCCACCCGCCCTCCCAACACATGAGTAACACCTGAGCCTGCGCATGTTCAGCGCTCGCCTTTGGATGCGCAGCTACTAGGAACCAACACCGACCGCAGGTGCGCGACGCTGGGGCCCGAGCGTGCCAGGCACGTCTGGTGCTCCAGATGCGCCACGTGCTCCACGGAGGTGCGCCACGCGTGCCAGGGGCGCCACGCGTGACAGGGGCGCCACGCGTGCCAGGCACCCCTGGGGCCCGAGCGTGCCAGGCACGCCTGGTGTGCCAGATGCGCCACATGCTCCGAGTGCGCCAGGTGTGCCGCACACTCCAGCCGCGGCAGGTGCGCCACGTTCGGGGCACGTGCAGAGTGTGTCAGGTGCGCCTGCGCACGTGACAGTACACATCGGGAAACATGTCGGCCCCCGCCATCCTTGTCGAAAACCAATGCCCATCACTGTGTCTGGTGGGCCTGCGCACAGCAGGCCATACGCCACCACCCCCGCCGTCCCTGTCAAAAGCCACTTGCCAGTGATCGCGCTGTGGCCTCGCGTGATCCAGGTTTAGCAGCAAGGTGCATGTTGTATTGCTTGCTGTTAAGGATGGTAGCCTTGCGCACAGCAGGCAGTATTCTGACACGCCCGCCGTTCCTGTCAGAAACACTACCAAGTGCCCGCGGGCCTCACGAACATGACTCAACATTTTGCCCCAAAGTGCATGTTGTATTCCCCATTTTCAAAAATTGGGTTATTGTTGTTCTCTGACCGCGCCGATTTCTTCCCCATCCTACTCAGAGTATGATGATGATGGTTATGCTGCTGATGGTGTTGATGGTGATGATGCCGATGATGATGCCGATGATGATGATGATGCTGATGATGATGATGATGATGATGATGATGTTGATGATGATGATGATGATGATGATGATGATGATGATGATGATGATGATGATGATGATGATGATGATGATGATGATGATGATGGTGATGACGGTGATGGTGATGGTGATGGTGATGCTGGTGATGATGATGATGGTGATGATGATGACCAGAGGGGGCAGATTCTGAGGATGTCTCGAGCGGCTTGCTGGCTTCAGCACTCCTAAGGCCTCCGTTCGCACCAAAATGGTGGGGATGTCTCAAGCGGTTTGCCTGTTTGCAGGCCCAAAATCCTCCGAGTTCGGAGCAGGTGCTCAGGATGTCTCGAGCGAGGCGCTCGTTTTCACCCCCAAGCGGGGACAGAGTTTGAGGATCTCTCGATCGGTTTGCTTGTTTGGGTGGCCGGACTCGTGAGCACGGATCCTCCCCAGGATGCCACAGGAGACTCCAGCAGGCTCCCGGAGGCCCCAGGAGGCAACAAGAGGTCCCAGGAGGCGAGGCTACAGGATGCCCCAAGAGGCTTCAGAAGGCCCCAGGAAGCTCCAGAAGGCCTCAGGAGGCTCCAGGAGGCTCCAGGAGGCCACAGGAAGCCACAGCAGGCCCCAGGAGGCCACAGGAAGCGCAAGGAGGCACCAGGAGGCCCCACAGGGCACCAGGAGGCCCCAAGAGGTCCCAGGAGTAGGAGGCCTCAAAAGGCCACAGGAGTGGTTCCAATCCCATGTGTTGCACGTATGCTCCTATAGATTGGACCTCCCCTGGAGCACGAATCCTCAGTGCTTACGTGTGTTTCTATGGATTGTCCTATTCTTGCGCATGCAGTCCTAAGTGTTTTACGTATGTTCCTATAGATTGGGCCTCCCTTCGGGCACGAGTCCTTGGTGTTTTACGTGTGTTCCTATAGATTGCCCTGCTCCTGTGGTTCCAATCCGCAGTGTTTTATACGTTCCTATGGATTGGGCTTCTCCTGAGGCACGAATCCTTCCTAGGATGCCCCAGAAGGCTCCAGGAGGCCCCAGGAGGCTCCAGGAAGCCCCAGGAGGTTTCAGGAGGCCCCAGGGGCCCCAGGCTCATGCGCAGAGACGCGCTCGTATTATTGAGACTCATGCACACTCCAACTCATTCACAGTCAGATTCGCTCCCAGACCGCCAATCTTCTTCAAGCCCGTGAGTATTCGACAATTCCTGCGCCTAGACGCTCACGGCGGACAGGTCCACGCTGATACATGCATATATGGGGAGCTCCACGCAGTGAATACATGTTTTTTGACAGGGATGGTGGGGGGGACCGCATCGGCTTGGCCGCGCATGCTCCAAATGTGGAGGCAGAGTGCGTGTTGCATTGTTTTTTGACAAGGCTGGTGGGGGGGGAGCATGGGGTCCTCATGGTTCCCGGTTGCCTGCCGGTCGCCTTGGGGAGGGGGCGTAAAATAATGGGGAGCAGTGATAAAACCCCTCCCCGAAGGGGGTAGGGGGAGAGGGGAGGGGGGAGGGGGAAAGGTGGATGAGCAGGGGGAGGGGGTAAGGGGAGGGGGAGGGGGTTGGAAGAGACAACTCTCCAGACCAACCCGCTACGCCCAGAGGGCTGGTGGGACTTCGACCGGAGACCAAGGCCCTCCGTTTGCGGCACTCTTCGAGGCGAGTCGGTCCGTGCTGGCCCTGGGGCCCGACACGGGGCGAGAGCGCCCGGCGCACAAAAATGGCAACGCCGGGGTCTCAGGGACGGGACGTTCTTTCGCGGATGCCCCGCGCAGAATGTACTTCAGATCTCGTAATAAAAGGGGGGGGGTCTGGACCCTCCAAGACAAGCCATTTCAGACCTCCCCCGTGGGAGAACCCTCCAAAACATCGTCCCCAGACCCCCCAGGCCCTCCAAGACAGCCTGGAAGAGACCCCCCCCGAAATGAGACCCCCCTCCCTTTATTACGAAATCTGGAGTACCCATCGGTCGTTGAAAGTAGGTATTTTTCGGATTCCTGGTTTCCAATCTGCTTCATGCGCCTGCCTACTTCGATGAGCGAGTGGCTTCACCTTTTCCGTCCTCCTTAGGGGGCGGGCGGACACCCAATCGACTTTCAACGCCGTCCTACTTCATGTTTCTACCTACTTCTTCCGACCGATGGGTATCCATGCAGCCGCATACGGTCGGGAATGTTTGGACAGCGTGTCGCTCCGCTGGTTCGGGCCCGGCACAACACGCCGTCCACATCCCGGTCCCCAGGCGTACACATCCGCTGCGCTTCTGCGAGCCTCCCGCCCCGCGAAGCGCAGCGTCAGGCTGTCCGCTCGCAGGGCATAGCGCGTCACCAGGGCCGCCGCCACAATACGCGATGCAAACGTTCCCCACCGTATCCATGCGACCGCGCATCCACTGGATTGCGCCCTGGGCGCGGGCCGGGACCCTTGCCGGCCCCCTGCTGGCGGGCGCGAGCCGTCGGAGGGCGTTCGACCCTCATTCGAGGTGATCTCGCCCACCACCTCGTCGCATTCTAGATGATTTGCCGTCTGTTGGGGTAGACAAGCAAAAAGCATACATACAAAAAAACGAGGGCGTGAGTGTGGATACTGTCGCCACTTCGTGAAGGCGTGTGCGGGCGCTGGAGGCCTCCCCCTCGCTGGACCCGGGCTTCCTGGCCAGCCTGATGCGGCGCACGCTGGAGGAGTTCAGGGGAGCAGGAAGTCCTGGCAGTGATGCCCTGCAAGATTCCCAAAGACCCTGAGATCTGGGCGTCGCAGTTTTGTCACAGGGGGGCGTTGTCGCCCGTTTTCGGTCCCCAGGGCCATCACGAAGCGATCTGGCTCGCAAAATGCCGCAGGAAGGCGGGGTCTAAGCCTCGAGTTGCGATTTTGTGCGAAGGTTCACTTTCTCGCAACGTCGGATTTCAAGGTAGTCGTTCGTTCCAAGGTGTCTTGGATTTCCAAGTCATGGCACGTTCCAAGAATGCTCGCATCGTGGCAAAAAGTCGCGACGGAAGGTTTTTCACGATTTACGGCCCCTAGGGGCGCTCAATAGGCCTCGGGAAAGTAAGGCCCGGCTTTCGTGCAATTTGATGACCCGGGTTGACTGGAATTTGTTTCGCAAGGATTCTGGAGAATCTCGTTCAAATTCAAATCACATCCTCCATCCCCCCATGCTCCCCGCAGGCACCCAGAAGAATGAGAAGTTCAAATTGCGGCCGTACCCCCGAATTTGGGACACCCCCGTACGTTACCCAGGAATCCACAGGAATCCTGAGAGGCTTCCGGGCGGAGTTATGGGAGCCTCTGCGGAGCCTCTGGGAATCTCTGGGGCGCCCTTGAAGAGTTTCTGGGGCGCCTCTCGGGAGTTTCGGGGAGCCTCTGGGGGGCTTCTGGGGAGCCTCGGGGAAGCCTTGGGGGAGCCCTTGGGGAGCCTCTGGGGGGGTTCTGGGGAACTTCCAGGAACTCTTCACAAGGCTTCCGGGGAGCAAGGGTCTGCTTCAGGCTTCGAGTCTATCTCGGCAGGTCTCGGCACACCCCTCACGCGGCTCGCGGCCCCACAAGGAGCCCCACCGAAGGTCCTGGGCCATGTCGGCACATCCCTCACACGGCTCGTGGTTCCACCGAAAGCCTCGGGTCCATGTCGGCACACCCCTCATGCGGTTCGTGGTCCCACAGGGGGGCTCCACCGAAAGATTCGGGCCAACTTCAGCACACCCCTCACACGGTTCGTGGCCCCACGCGTGGTTTTGCCGAAGGCCTCGGGTCTATTTTGGCGCACTTTTCAAACGCTTGTGGCCCCACAGGGGAGCTCCACAGAAGGCTTCGGGTCAATTTCAGCTCACCCCTCACACGGGTCGTGGCTCCACGCAGGGTTTCACCGAAGGATTCGGGTCCATGCCGGCGCACCTTTCACGCGTCTTGTGGCCCCGCAGGGGGGTTCCACCAAAGGTTTCTCAACACACCCCTCACACGGTTCGTGGCCCCACAGTGGGCTCCACTTCAGGCTTCGGGTCTTTTGGCACTCCCTCCGCACAGCCTCACACGGTTCTTGGCCCCACAGGGGGGCTGGACTGGAGTCTAGAATGTCCATGACTGAGCAGCCTAGAATATATATAGGCTCTCGTCAGCCAGCGAGCCTCGCGGCCCTGGGCAGACGGTACCCGGCCCCTCGGCTCACGTCGCTCTACAACCCTGGGGCCCAAAAGGGCCCCAGAGGCCGAAAGAAACGAAAAGCAGCCGGAGCTGAGACAAAAACGGGCGAGGACGACCGCGAGGTCATGTCATCGCTCCCCCGATTCACCGCGCGCCCCTTGGCTGCAATTCTGGTTCAAGCCGGCCCAGTCTCCTTGGGCATCCTCCCCTTCTCCCCTCCCCCTCGTCCTCCTCCTGTCCCTCCTTTTCCTTCTCTTTCCCCTGCCCGCCCTCGTCGGGGTGACACGTCTCACCCGCTGATCTTCGGAGGCCGAATGTCCCCATGGTGGCTTTCAGAATCCCAGATTCATAATTGGTTTTTCCCAAACGTGTTCGGATGGTCCACCCGTAGGTGGATCACCTGTGTGGCGCGCGCTACACAGTGAAATGGAGTACGACTGCACCAATACGTGCTCAGGCCAAGAATCCCAATTTTACAATTGCTTTTTCTCAACCCGTTTTCGGGTGACCCACCCGCTGGTGGATCACCTGCGCGGTGCGCGCTACACAGAGACATCGCATGGATTACGACTGCGCCAGCTCATGCTGATATTCAGGATCCCAATTTAACCATTTGTTTTTGTCAACCAGTTTTCGGGTGGCCCACCTCCCGGTGGATTACCTGTGTGGTACACGCTACACTGGGGAATTGTATGGAGTGCGACAGCACCAACTCACATTGAGGCCCAGAATTCCAAGCTTACACTCGGTTTTTCTCAACCAGCTTTCGGGTGACCCACCCGCTGGTGGGTCACCTACGCGATGCGCGCTACACAAGGAAATCGTATGGATTACGACTGCACCAGCTCATGCTGATGCCAAGAATCCTAATTCTACAGTTGTTTTTTCTCAACCAGTTGTCGGGTGACGCACCCGCTGGTGGGTCACCTGTGTGGCGCGCGCTACACAGTGGAATCGTATGGAGCACGATTGCACCAAGTCATGCTGAGGCCCATAGCCCAAAGTTTACACATTTGCTTTTATCAACCAGTTTTCGGGTGACCAACCTCCTGGTGGGTCACATGTGTGGTGCACAGGGGACTTGTCTGGAGCACGACAACACCAATTCATGCCGAGGCCCAGAAGTTTACTGTTAGCACTGGCTTTTCTTAACCAGTTTTCGGGTGACCCACCCGCTGGTGGGTCACCTGTGCAACGAGAGCTACATAGGGAAATCGCATTGATTACGACTGCACCGGCTGCTCCCACTCGGCTGCCCTTTGTTGCCTGGCCCCCCATATGTTGCCCCCCATAGGTTGCCGCCCATTGCCTGACCCCCCGTACTGTGCCCCGCATAGGCCGCCCCCCATAGGTTTTGCCCAATAGGCTGTCCCCCGTCGGCAAATTCTGGGAAACCCTCCTTGCCGCCCGCCTGGCCAAGAATGATTAGTGTAGCGCGCCACCCTGCTTTTAAATTCACACTCCATGCTCAAGCAGCAGGGCCGCGCGCACCAAGAAGAATAACTTTGAGCTTATATTCTTCGCTGACAAAATCAGGGTCATCCGGGAATTTGAGCCCCCAGACCAGCATCAGAAACAAGTATTACATACAGTACTATTTCAGAACATGTTGATATTCTTAGGAATCCAGTTCCCTGCAACTACCCCCAAAGAGCCGAGAATAATCAGCTTCTCGATAGGGTTGAGCAGTAGCCTCCGCCATGCCATGGGAAAGTCAGAACAACAACTCAGGAGGGAAAACCAGGGGCCCCGCATTGAACAAATCAGGATGTCGGATGTTTGGGGTACGGTCGGGACCGACGTATAAGATCGCGGTCGGTTCGGGGGGATACCTTCATGTTCTTCGTGTCTGATGGATGTTTTTATGCATCCTGGGGAGGGTACCCTTGGATGTTCTGTGTTTTTGTTGGCCGGCGGAGGGTCTCATGTTCTTGCAGGATGTTATTATGGCTTGGGTCCGATTGTAGTGCTGCGTTCTAAATTGCTTCTGATGTCCAAAACTTCGCAGATGTCATATTGTTCCGTACGGGCTCCAGAAGCGAGGTTGCGAAATCTGCTAGCAGCAGGTTTCGGCCTCGCCCCCAGGCGCTGACCTCGATATACCAGCGCCTCTGGCGCCAGGGAAACCAGCTGCACAAGCCGAGTCGCCGGCAACCTCCCTCTGCTATCACCCCCCGTTCGTCCCGTGACATCCGCCGGTGTGATTGTTTCAATCCGCGGCCCCAGAAGTCCCGACCACGTCCCCGGGGCCAGGGTTACGCCCCAGACCCGCTCCCCTTGGGCCCGAAAACTGGCACCAGAGGGGGGCGGCATCGAAGAGAAACGCCGGTTGAGACACGTTGCCAGCCCAGACCTCCGATGTCTTGGATTTGTCAATACGAGGCCCCTGGAGCTCTGGACCATCTCCTGGGGACTGGTCTTTCACCCCGAGTAGCTTTTGACTGCCCTGCCGGTCCAGCGAGGGCCCCCCGACGCCGAAAACTACGACGAACATCCGCTTTAATATATGTTTCCAAAGCGTCGGAGGCCTGAGAGACATCTGTACAATTCAACAATCTGATAATTACTCTCCTCTCTCCCCTGGTGGCGTCCGGGGATTGTTCGGCCCCCCTTCCGCGTATTGGCTTTTTACACGCAGGATTCCCGGGAGTCGGGTTTTCGCCGAAATGTTGTTCTCGCTGAAGCGCTGGCCTCATTTTCGGGCCACCGCTCGTTCCGAATCATGCTCCCGCTGCAGCGTTGGCCTCGTTTCCGCGCTTGCGCTCGTTCCGAATCGTGTTCCCTTTGTAGCACTGGCGTCATTATTTCCAGCGCCATGCCACGGCATGTCTTTCTGCCTTTCCAAATAGACCCCAAAATCTAAAAAATGACCTCGCGAAGATACCATCGGAAGTGATTACGCATTCGGTGTCGATTCGTTGATTTTTGGTGCCGCAGAAGCCCCCCCCACTCTGGGGCGTCGCCACGCCAGGCTATGTCAGGGTACGCGTCCTCATTTCCGCGCTTCCGCGCTGGTGTTTCTGTAAAAAAAATGCTGCTCTTGCTGAAGCGCTAGCCTCATTTTCGGGCTACCGCTCGTTCCGAATCGTGCTCCCGCTTTAGCGCTGGCGTCATTATTTCCAGCGCCATGCCACGGAACGGTTTTCGGTCCTTCCGAAAGGCACCAAAATTTAGAAAATGCACCCCCGGAAAAACCATCGGAAGTGATTACACATTCGGTGTCGATTCGTTGATTCTTGGTGCCGCAGAAGCCTCCCCACTCTGGGGCGTCGCCACGCCATGCTATGTCAGGGTACGCGTCCTCATTTCCGCGCTTCCGCGCTTGTGTTTTTGTTCAAAATGCTGCTCTCGCTGAAGCGCTAGCCTCATGTTCGGGCTACCGCTCGTTCCGAATCGTGCTCCCGCTGTAGCGCTGGCGTCATTACTTCCAGCGCCATGCCATGGAATGGTTTTCGGTCCTTCCGAAAGGCACCAAAATTTAGAAAATGCACCCCCGGAAAGAACCATCGGAAGTGATTACGCATTCGGTGTCGATTCGTTGATTTTTGGTGCCGCAGAAGCCCCCCCCACTCTGGGGCGTCGCCACGCCAGGCTATGTCAGGGTACGCGTCCTCATTTCCGCGTTTCCGCGCTTGTGTTTTTGTTCAAAATGTTGGTCTCGCTGAAGCGCTAGCCTCATTTTCGGGCTACCGCTCGTTCCGAATCGTGCTCCCGCTGTAGCGCTGGCGTCATTACTTCCAGCGCCATGCCACGGAATGGTTTTCGGTCCTTCCGAAAGGCACCAAAATTTAGAAAATGCACCCCCGGAAAGAACCATCGGAAGTGATTACGCATTCGGTGTCGATTCGTTGATTTCTGGGGCCGCAGGAGCCCCCCCCCACTTTGGGGCGTCGCCACGCCGTGCTATGTCATGCTACGCGTTAATCTTCAACACCATGCTATGCTATGCCATGCTACGACATCCGACTGTGTACGCCATGGTAAGGGATGGGAGGGAGGGGTAGGACGTCAAATATGACGCCAGCGCACCTAGCTTGGCTGTCCCCCCTCTCGGCCGATCCGGCAGGAGCCCCTTGGAGGCCTCCGGGGCCAGCTCGAGGGCCGCCTCGACGAGCTGGCGCAGTCCCTGGCGTCTCACGCCCTGCGGCTCGACAGGCCCCCCGCGGGAACATGCCCGCGCACCCACCGCTTCGGGGTCGTGCCGTGGGATGTGGTGGACGGTGGTCCACGGGTCAGCCCTGCGCTTCCTTGGCATCGCCCGGGCGTGTGCATGTTCTCTCGGCGAGAACCCTCGAGAACCATCCCGGACCATCGAGCAAAACAAACAACAACAAAAAACACGCACGAAACCGAAAATGGCACGGGACATGGACGCCCGAGCGACGGCCAGCTTCTCGCCTGCCGTGCCCGGCGCTGCGCGTGCCAGAAGGGTCGGGGGCGGAAAAGAGGGGGGTTGATGACTAGGGGGGGGGTGGATATCATGGCGGGGGCCATGATATTTCCCCAGATTTCATGGCGCCTCTTCTTATTTCATTACGTCCCTGGCCCCCCCGCTGGGCCGCGCACATGCCGCCAGTCATGATTTGCACTCCCCCCTCTTGGACACCCCCCTCTTGGCCGCTCCCGAAAGGGGCCCATGGAGTCTCCCTCCCTCCGCAGCGCCTCCGCGGCTCCGCCCCTGGGGGCGCCGACGTCCTGCCCCGCGAGGGGCCCGAAGGACCCCCCAGGGCGCCCCTTCTTCAGCGCAAGAGGGCCTCCTCCCTCCTCCCTCCTCCTCCTCCTCCTCCTCCCTCCCTCCTCCTCCTCCTCCTCCTCCTCCTCCTCCTCCTCCCCCTCCTCCTCCTCTTCCACGGCTCCTTGGCATTGCTCGGACGTGTGCACCTTTTCTCGGTGGGGGTTATGAAAGAGCATCCTGGATCATCCTGCGAAGAAAAACCACGCACGAAGCCGAAACAAAACACAGGGAATAGACGTCCGAGCGATGGCCAGGCCCTTGGTATCGCTCGGACGTGTGCACTTTTTCTCGGGGGGGGTTATGAAAGAGCATCCTGCGAAAAAAACCACGCACGAAACCGAAAAAAGACAGGGAATGGACGTCCGAGCGATGGCCAGGCCCGAGAAGGCTCCCACCATCCACGAGGACATGCCGCGCACACGCCCGCTTCGGGGAGCGATGGACAGACGAGGCGTTCCGGCAAGGGCCTCTCGCCTTCGAGGGTCGAGGGGGTGGCGGTCTCTGCCTCGGCGGAAGGTCGGCGGAAGGAGCAGGAAGTAAAACAAGGGCGGCTCCGCCGCCGGAAGGCCGGCGGAAGGTGGCGGAAGTGAAAGATGCGTCCCCAAGAGATGGCAACGTTTTTAGGGTCAGGGTGTCAGGAATCGGCCAAGTATGGATTCGCCCGCATGGGCGGGCAGTCATCCATATCCCGTTGCATCCGCCGATATGAGTTTGTTCCGTCCAGGGTCCCAGAGGTCCCGACCTCTTCCCCATCCGTTTTCGATGGCCATTGGCCACGAAAACGGGCCCCACGACGCCGAAATCTAGCAAAATCGCCTGGATTGAAAAAGTTATATCGCCCGAGATCTGGGTCCACCGCTCCCCGAGTCCCCTGGACACGAACCCGCAGCAGTGGATCTAGACATACTCTTCTTCGGTGGCAACTCATGGAAGCCTTGTATGTCATCCAGATTCCGTCGTCAGGGTGCGCTGGCATGCGCCAGCGCGTGGTAATCGATGAGAAGGCGCTGACGTAGCGTCGATGGGGTCATCTGCGCCGACACTGGCGCGTAAGCTGCCCGCGTAAGGTCGCGCGTAAGCGCCCTCGTCTCCAATGTTGCGTGCCGCGCTGGCGGCCCGCGTAAGCCGTCGCGCAAGATCGCCATGCCAGCTTGCGCAAGACCCGTCAATTTTCGTCGCTGGAGTGGCGCGGGAGGCCCCCAAGAGTTGCCACTGAACTCCTGCCCAGGGGCGAAAGAACCATGCACACGTACATGAATCCACGTTGGTTTCGAGAGCGCGCATAGCGCGAAGGTTCGTGTCACGAGGCTGGTCTCGCGGACTGGGGGTCGCGTTCATGCACGTGGTTGGACGCGCACGTCCTTTGTGGGCTCCCCATCCTGCGGCGCAGCAGGACGGAGGGCCTGGCGCCGGCGGTCCGCGAGTGCGGGCTCCGCTTGGATTCGTGGCACGACCGCGCTGAGGAGCAGGACCGGGCCCTGGCCACGCTGGCCGCCAGGGTGGACGCCCTGCAGGACCCGACGGGCGACAGACATGCCGATGCTCCTCAGGGGCTCGAGGGTCCGCAGGTTTCGGGCGTTCTCGTTGGTCCTCGGCGGTCCTCCAGCCTCGAGGCGCCCTCCGGCAGCTGCGCCTCGTGGGGAGCTTTCCGGGGATGCCCAGATCGTGCCGAACGGCCCGAGCTGTGGCCCGAAACCGGCGCGCCTCTGGGCTCGCGCGCGCCATCCCCTGAGATCTGGGCGCTGCAATTTCTTCCCACCGACCGGTGTCGCCCCGTTGCGAGCCCCGGGCCCCTCACCGGATCGGCCCGCCTCGGAAGATACCGCTGGGAGATGGGGTCTGGGGCTCTGGCCGCGATTGCTCACGAGAGGTTGCCATTTGTGTCGCGTCGTCGGATCTCAGGAGAGGTTCAAGGTTCTCGGGAGGTCTCGCGGTTCTCAGCCTCCGAGTGCCGGACACCGAGCTGCGACCCGAAAACCAGACAACGAGCCTCGCGGCCTCGAGCTCGGCGGATCGCGCCGCATCGCGGATGCATCGGCGATGCAGTTCGATGGGGAGCTCGATGTTCCCCGTGCCGATGGCGCCGATGTATCATTGATACATCGGCGATGCGGTGCAATCCTTCGACCCCATGTACTCGAAACCCAAGCGGACGTCCTCCAATGAACAAGGCCCCCCCTCCTCTCGTCGCACAAGGATCACGACGGCCAGTTTTTGTCAGATTTCGGCTTCCGCGTGCCTTTCTGCCGCGCCGCGGGGCCTGTAGAAGACGGCTCGGAACGAGAAGCTGGTCCCGGGAAGGGGTCCAGACCTCCGAGCGCCGACGCTGCGAAAAGAAAGCACGGCGTCGGAGCTGTGCAGTAGGGGCAGGGGGGGGGGGAGGCCCTCCCGCGAGAGAGGGGCCCCAGAGGTCCGGGGCCCTCCGAGGGTGGCCTCGCCCAAAGGCCCTTGGCTGGGGCTCCAACCGTTCCCTGTGGGGAGCCCTGGAGGACTTGGGGGGGCCTCGGACATCAGGCCACGGGGGTGCGACAAACGCGGGGGTGAGGTGCAGAAAGCAACACCTCTCGTGCCCTGCAGGGGCCCCCTGGGGCCCAAGAGGGGCACGACTTGGGCGCGCTTCTCTCCCCCCCCCCTCCTGAGTTCACGCCCGACCGGGACGAATGCCCGACCGGGGCCCTTCCCCGGACATCCGCCGTCGTGATATCAGGGCCCCCAGGTGCCCCAACCCCGTCCCCGGGGCCCTTCCTCCCGAGTCGCTTCCGGGCAGCCCGGGGGTCCGGGCGCGGGCCCCCCGAGGCCGACTCGGGGCCCCCCTCTCGAAGCAGGACTCTGCTGAGCAGGACTTGTGAAAATGTCCGCCGGGAGATTTGAAAGTTCAGCCTGGAGGGAACAAATACGGTCGGCCCGAGGTATAAGATCGAGGTCGGCTCGGGGAGCGTAGGTACCCTCGTGCTTCTCGTGCTTGTTGGATGCTCTTGTGCATCCTGGGTGAGGGTACCCTCGAGTGGCCTTCTGGTTGGGGGTGTTTTGGCCGGCGGAGGGCCTCTCATGCTCAGGAAGGATGTCATTCCGTCCTGTGTCCGACCGCAATGGAGAATGTCTTGGCCCACGGATGCAGCTCTCTCGGGCGCGCCAGTGCCCTGGCGCATCCGCGTCGCCGACTGGAATGGCCCCGACCGAAGGAAGCGAAGCGTGTCCCGCACCGAGTCTGTCCGACACGTTGCAGGCCTGGGCCTTGCCCCCCCCCCCCGTGCCAGAGGAGCAGGCGGAGGGCGGCGCGGTGGCGGCCAGGGCGAGCTTCGCCCGAGAGGCGGACCTGGCGGCCAGGCACTCCGCGCTGCAGGAGCGGGTGGAGGCCCTCACCGTGCCGCCCCCGATCATAAAAATGGTCAGCTGTCATCGATCACGACTTGCGCTGCCATCGATTACGGTCGAGAACGTTTGCTTACGCAGCGTGTCGCGCCGCCTGTTCTGGCACGCCACGCTTCCGCGCGACGCGCTATCCACGCCCCGGTTCCCAAGCGTCCACGTCCCAAGCCCCTCACAGCCGCCCGCCCCGCGGAGAGGCGCGGCACGCTATCCGTTCGCAAGGCACAGCGGGTCGCCGGAGCCGCCGCCGCGACACGCTAAGCGGAGGTTCCTGACCGTATGAAGCTGCGCTGCCATCGATCATGCAGTGCCCCCATCGATGAAGCTGTGTTGTTGCCGATTGTTGAGCCTCATTAGATTTTTCAGCGGGTCGCTAAGTAACCTCCCGTCTTCGTCTTGGCCCAGGGGTTCTTCGGCGGCCCAGTTGCTCAGCCCCCTGCAACTGCACGGGGCAGCGCGCGCGAGGCTGGCCCAGCGTTTGCTCGAGATGTTCATCGAAAGCTGGCCCAGGTTTCCTGCGCTTCGTAATCATATCCTTGGCAGTACCATCGGACCGCTGCACCATCGATTTAATTGTCGTGTTGCCGATCCCGAAGACCCGACGTTGTGGAAAACAACAACATCGCGAAAAATCGCGACAGATGCCCCAGACCCCATCTTTCTGCGGCATTTTTCGAGCTGTCCCAGGGCTCGATAAGAAAAAATGCGACGCCCAGATCTCAGGGGATGGCGCGCGCGAGCCGAGAGGCGCGTGGTTTTGGGCCACAACTCGGGCCTTCGGCGGCCGTTCGGGACGATCCGCGCATCCCCCAAAGTTCTCGACCAGGCGCAGCTGCTGGAGGACGCCTCGAGTGGAGAAAACCGCAGAGGACCAACGAAAACGCACGAAAATTGCGAACCTTCGAACCATCGAGTCGATGCGATTCTGGCAGCCTGCTGGAGCAATAGTGATCGATGGTGATGGTGATGGTGATGGTGATGGTGATGATGATGATGATGATGATAATGATAATGATAATGGTGATGAGGAGGAGGATGGTGGTGATGATGCTGATGATGCGGATGGTCATGATGAAGATGATGATGGTGATGATGATGAGAATGATGAGGATGCTGATGACGATGAGGATGAGGATGATGATGACGATGAGGAGGAAGAGGATGATGATGATGATGATGATGAGGATGATGATGATGCTGATGCGGATGATGATGGTGGTGGTGATAAAATCGGGATAACTACAGCAACAACAATAATAATGTTGACGATAATGATGATGGTGATGATGATGGTGATGATGATAATGGTGATCGGTGATGATGATGATGATGATGATGATGATGATGATGATGATGGTAACGGCTATCGTGATGACCATGATGGTAACATTTATGATGGTGATGACGATGACGATGATGATGACGATGACGATGATGATGATGATGATGATGACGAGTATGATCATGAGCATGATCATGATCATGAACATGATCATCATGATGATGATGATGATGATGATGATGGTGATCATCATCATGATGATGATGCTGATGATGATGATGATGATGATGATGATGATGATGATGATGATGATGATGATGATAATGATGATGATGATGATGATGATGATGATGATGATGATGATGACGGTGATGGTGAACGTGAGAGGAGAAGAGGAGGAGAGGGGTGCTCCTGTTCCTGTTCCTGCGTGGGGGGGGGCCCAGAGAAACGAGCGGGCGGAGGCCCTCGCCGAGCTGGTCGGCGCGGACCGTGCCGCTGGCCAGGCGGAGAGGGCCCAGCGGCAGCGGCAGCTGGACGAGCTGCTCGCCCGCTCCGAGGAGGGCAGGCGGCAGCTCGAGGACCGGTCTTGCGGGGGAGCTTCAAGAGGTCACTTGAGTCCTCGGCATCGCTCGGACCTGTGCGTATTCTCTTCGGCGAGGACCATCGATCGCCATGGGGGAAGCGGGTGCTGAGGGACATGGGTCCTGAGGTTGTTCGGCGTTTTTGGCTTCCCGGGGCCCTCCATGGGCCCCCGGACTATGAGAAACGGCTCAGGATGAAGAACTGGTCCTCGAGGAAGGCCCCAGGGTCCAGGACCCGTTTCCCTCAAGACGCGTTTCCCCCTTGCCAGATCGAGGGTGCTCGCGGCTATGTCGATCCGGTTGTGTCGCAGTCGGTTGCGTTCGGTTGGGTTCGGTTCGGTTGGTCATGATGTCGTTGCTGCGTCGCTTCGCCCTTCTGGGCTGCAAGCTCCAAGATCTCCGGCGGGGTCCAGCGCCGATCCCAGGAAACCTCGCGGATTTCCGAAAGTGTATGTTTATGCCGCTTGCTGTCCCTCCTAGTCATTCAAGTCAGGATCCATGGGTTCCACGATGGCCTCACTACATCCCTAAAGGGCTTCAAATCGTCAAGCACAGCTCCAAGAGGCGCCCAAGAGGCCAAAGTTCATGGCTGTTGCTAAGGATTTTGAAAGATGTTGGCGTTACCCCCCCGTCAGTCTTCCGACCGCCCACGACGGCACACTCAGCCACCAAGATTTCCACAATTCACGCTTAGAGGCCCCGAGGACGCCCACAAGACGGCCCAGAGTTCTCAGGGCAGGGGGTGGTCAGGGGTAACCCCTGATTCGGGCTACCCGTTTTCACGCTGGAGTTGCCCTGGATTGCACTACTCAGCTCGAGCCGCCCCGAACCACACTCTGCCCCATGTAGATTTTGTTCAGCACTCGCCTGATACAGGAGTCATTCTAGATCAAGCGGTTTCGGGGTTTTCCTGGATCACATTTGGGGGCACGAAATTGACCCTTACGCAGACATGTCTATCCTAGATAATCCGGGTGCCCAAATTATCCGTAAGGGCTTCGCCCCATGCCGCCGGCCCCCTGTCTCGGAGAATGGGAGATGCAAAAGCTAAATCATGAGGTCTGGGCGCCGCCGTGAAGCAGTGTCGGGACCTGTTTGTTTTTCGACCCTGACCCTACGGATCTGTGTGAGGGGTGCCGCCGAATTTCAGAAATGTGGCAAATCCCTTGCGTTTTTGGACCCTGACCCTACGGATCTGCGTGAGGGATGCCGCCGAATTTCAGAAATGTGGCAAATCCCATGTGTTTTTGGACCCTGGCCCCGCCGATCTGCGTAAGGGGTGCCGCCGAATTTTAGAAATGTGGCAAATCCCATGTGTTTGTGCACCCTGACCCGCCGTTCTGCGTGAGGGGTGCCACCGAATGTCAGAAATGTGGCAAATCCCTTGTGTTGTTGCACCCTGACCCCGCCGATCTGCGTGAGGGGTGCCGCCGAATTTCAGAAATGTCGCAAATCCCATGTGTTTTTACACCCTGACCCGCCGATCTAAGTGAGGGGTGCCACCGAATGTCAGAAATGTGGCAAATCCCTTATGTTTTTGGACCCTGACCCCGCCGATCTGCGTGAGGGGTGCCGCCGAATTCAGTAATGTGGCAAATCCCTTGTGTTTTTGGACCCTGACCCTGCCGATCTGCGTGAGGGGTGTTAATCCCCCTCGCGCGGTCCATCAACAAGGAACAGTAAGCAGCAAGAAGCAGAACTGAAACAAGGAACAGCAAGCAGCAAGAAGCAGAACTGTAACAGTGGAAACTGGAGGCTGCAACTGGCACAGGAAACTGCGAAGCTTCGGCCTACAGCCTGGTGGCCCCACAAGGGGGCCTGCGGATTCCAATCTCTTGTTATTCGAAGAAGAGAAACCTAAGAAACATAAAGTGTCGCAAGTTCGCGCGGATTTCTTAGATCTGTGCTGAATCCCCCTGGCGGCGCCTCTGGCGCCGCCCCTGGCGCACTCCGCGCGCCAGGGAGAAAATCCCAGCGCCGATCCAAGAAATCTGTGCGGACCTCCGAAGGTTTATGCTTGTGCAGTTGTTTGTTCCTCTGGCGGTACTCTCTTTTCAACTTGGAGTCTGGTTCCTCGATCTCGGCCTCTGGGGCCCGTTTTCGGGCCCCGGACCCTCAAAACGGATCTGGGGCGACGAGTTTGCCCAGGGAAAGGGGTCGGAACCTCTGGGGCCGTGCATTGAAGAAGTCAGATCGTCTGATGTTTGAGATTGCAGACACGCCAATCCTGGCCAGGCCAATCCTGGGCCCGGGGCCCAGGATCAGTGCAGGCGTCCTTGGCCAGGCCAGGATGGCGCGGGCACCCTCGGGGTGAGCCCGGCCAGGATCTGTCAATGTGCACATTCCTCCTGGAGGACGTCGTCCGACAGCTCCCGGTGATGCGAGCGGAGGTTACCGACGAGTGCCGGCGGCACGCCGAGCGGTTGGTAGCGCCCATCGCGCCGCAGGTCCGCAACGTTCAGGCGATTCTGGAGCGGAGGCTGGAAGACGCTGGATCGCAGCATGAAGCCGCCAAGAGGCGGCTGGACGAAGTTGAAGACAGAATGAAGGAGCAGGCCCAGGCCCAGGCGGAAAAGGGTCATATCAGCGAGTCCATGGTGACCGACCTGGACGAACGGATACAGAGGAAGCTCAGGAGGCTCAGGGCAGCTGAAAGCACAGGGATGACAAGGTTCGGCCTCCTCCGCCTCCCCGTCTTCTCCTCTTCCTACGGGGCGAGTCTCGTTACAGCGTGCATGCCACACTTTCAAATTAGCATGTGCATGCATATATGCGAGTGAAGCTTCCATCCGATGCCCCACTCAGATAGTGCTGTGCACCCACGATGGCCCCAGGAACCCGCTGGAGACCTGGGGCAGCATAGAAACTTTCATGTCGAAAGGGAACTTGTCCGAGGAAGGACATGGAGAAGAAAAGGAAAACGGGCTGCGTAGCCATTTTGGCTCAAGCCGGCCACCAGCCGGCGAACCCCGCTTTGGCCCAAGCGAGCGTGACAGGTCCATTATGCTTGTCCGCGTTAGGGGGTTCTTCCGAAGCGGATCTTGATATGGCGACGGGAGGCCCCCCAGTGATGACTGGAGGAGGGCCTAGAGGCGGCGCCCATTGTGGAGGCCAGGCTTGGGCGAGGCTTCTTGCAGCCGCACTGTCTCGCCACATCCGCCGAGAGAGAGCTGCGGAGAGGGAGCGAGCAGCTACTTCAGAGTCAGCGGACGACGCAAGGTTCCAGCTGCAGGTGCGCAACGAGATCAAGGGCGAGTTCAAGGACCGCCAGGTGTCCCTGGACCAGGAGTTGTTTCGGCATTGGCGAGCAGACCGGGCGCTTGGCGGGCATCGACATCGACTGGGGGATGCGCTTCGGGCTCCCCAGTCTGCCCTCGGCGTGCCCCGCGGGTCGTTCGACATCTGCATGTGGGTCAAGGAGCAGGGGGATCAGGCGCGCCACATGCCACTGGGCCAGCAGCCCGTGTCAACCGAACCTCGTTATTTTCAACGCTGAGGCGCCCGAGTTCATCCCTGTCTCGTGTGTGGCACCTGCGGTGCTGCCAGAGGCCCGACATAAAGTAGAGTCGCTCGGCCTCCAAGGCCCCTGGGAGCCTGTGAAAACTAACTTCGAGGTGCTGCACTGCTGGTATGGCTCGGTGGTCTTCTCATCGGTGCCCCTGGGCGGTCAGAGAGGCACTGGTCATCAAGCCCTCTGAAGCCCAAGCAGAGGCAGAGGAGCCGATGCCGCCAGAGGCCCTCGCCGACGACGCCGCCGTTGTCAAGGAGCCTGATGGAGAAGCGGGCGCGTCAGAGGCAGCCTCATCATCCCATGGTTCGTCACAGTAGGCGGCGAAGGAGACGAGCGAGAAATTGAAGGAGCAGTTGCACCAGACCGGATCAAAGCTCAGCTGGCGGCTAAGGGTACGACAGAGCCTTGATATGGGGCGTCGCAGGGCCAAATTAGCCAATGCAGAGTTGCAGGAAGAGCACATGGCCGTACAGGGTGCAGACGCAGCTACGCCAAATTGGGACGTTTGCTGCAATGTGCAGTGGTCTAGACCTCCGGCGAAGGAGCAGATGAAGCTAGAGCGTCGGTATCAGATGTTCACTGCCGACCCTGAGCGGGATTGGCCAACGCTCAAATTATCTGGCATAGCTCCCATCATAGTGAATGTTGTAGACATGTAGACCAGACCTGCTCACAAGAAGGCCACACGTGCGCTTAGAAGCATCAGAAGGATCTAGCAGACAGTTTGCACTTTCTGTCTGCACGCAGAATAGCCGAAAGTGGCCACCAGCTCGCGGCACCCACCTACCGCACTTCCCTCCCCTCCACGCATATCCTTTCCTTCTCGCCCTTGATGTTCTGCAGTTATGCACTTGTTGCGTGGCTTCTCGGGGCGGAGGCGGGGTCCGTAGCCATTTTGGCTCAAGTCCGTAGTCGCTTTGGCACGAGACCTGACCTTACTGGCGTGGGGGAGTCAGCGGCCCCCGATTGTGACGCCTCACTGCCTGGCCAGGGAGGCATTTCTTGCTTTGCAGAGCTGGTTCGCCCCAGCTACTGCTGCTTTGCTCGGTCTCCGAGCGCTTTCACGATTTCGTCCTATCAGCGATGGCCTATGGGAAGCAAGGGTTCCACGGCACGGGCAAAGGCAACCAGGTCTCGCCTGGGCACCATGGTTCGGGCTGGCCACCTCTTGTTCCTGGTCTTCAACCTCCTGCTGGCCATGGCGTGCAGCCTGTACAACAGCCACCAGAGAAGAAATGGAAGTGCCAAGTATGTGGGTGCGCCAAGAATGCTGCGAGGTTCTACTACTGCAAGCACTGTGGTTCCTACAAGCAGCCCATGGCGCCAGACTCCGCTTAGCAGGGCAACGCTGCCCTGCAGCTGTTCGGTCAGGGGCGTCTTCAAGGCTCCTACTGGGACGGCGGCCAGGGCAAGGGCGGGTCGTCGGGGGGCGCAGGTGCCAGTGCCAAGGGTGACCACGGCCTGGCCAAAGGCGCCCCCCAGGCACCTGCCCCAGGACCCACGCGCTCTGCAGAGGAGTACGAGACCATGGCGGCACTTTGTGAGAAGCTGGGCGACAAGCTTGCAGCTGAATCTCACCGTCGTTCCGCTCGTGCCCTCACAGCACCTGTCGCTCCACCCAAGTCTGTCCGAGTCCGCCTCAAGCAGGCCCACTGGAAGGTCGAAGGCATCAACAAGCGCATGGTCGCTGCTGCTGGCAAACACGACGAGTTGGAAGCCCAGCTCGCTGCCCAGAAGGCCATGGTGGTCGGCCTTCGGCAGGAGCTCATCGAAGCTGAGAACGAGCACAAGGCTTTGGTTCAGTGTTTGGTTCAGGAGCAGGCAGGCACCACCGCCAGCGCTGCTCCCGTCTGCAAGCTCTCGCTCGAGGACATCATGGACCAGGACCGCCTCTCCCAGGTTTTCGACTTCAAGGTTTGCGACCTGTTCAAGTGCGACGACTTTGACCCTGATGAAGACAGTCTCGAGATCGAGTCCCGCGTCCTGCAGCTCAAGAAGGGCCTTTCTACCATGGCTGGCTCGCTGTTCTCAGAAGCCAAGCAGAAGGTCGACGGGCTCAGGGCTGCCCACCGCGCCCATGTCTCCCGCTTGGCTGCCAAGCGTCGGCGCACGGACGAGGACCCTGGCGAACACGTCGCCGGTGCTGGGGCGGCCGCCGCTCTTGAGGCTGGCAAGGAGACGGCAGCCCCGAGCTCGCCCTCTGGCGGCATGGGCCCGGGGCGCCTGCTGCGGCAGGCCAGGGAGCTGGCGACGCAGGCGGCGGCGGGGGGCCTCCTGGCGCGGGCTCGGCTCGGGCCCGTGCCGACCTCATCGCAGGCGCTGCGCCGCCTTCTGGTCAAGCCCCCCCTGGAGGAGCGCGCCGATGCCCTGGGCTCGTTCGTTCCTTCGTTCGCTCGGGGCCCCTCTGCCCGTAGCTCGTCGAGCGCCCTCCAGGAAGGGGAAATTTTATTTGTTCGCTAGCATTAATCGGTGGTCATCGTGGCCCTGTAGGCTTCTTAGAGCTCCTCTCTCTGCTGCCCCGGCCTGCCTTTGGGGCAAGAGGGGGGCCACCATCTCGTCGCGGAGCGCTGGTCAGAAGAAGCACTCCTCCAGCGCACCGCTGGACTTCAGTTGTCCAAGGGTCGAGTATCCAGCGCTGACCCTTGGTATGCCACCAAGCAAGGCCACCGCTGATGGGGCTAGCCCCAGCGGTCGTCGCCCCTCCCCCCCACGTTGAGCCCGGCGCAGGTTTCGAAAGTATGGCCTTAGGATGCGCCGGCGGTGGGCCTCCACCGTCAGCTTCACGGACTGCCAGCTGCATGCAGTCCCGCTTGTTTAAAGGACCGAGAGTCCACCCATCGCGTGAGCAGCGTTTGTCTGCCGCTGCCTGCGCCCGTGGTAGGAAGGCGAAGTACCACGGCTAGCTCAGTTTGCGATGATTCGGTGCCCCTCACGATCCGCTCCATCAATGCCAACTCGCGGGGCACTCTGAAGACCCTCTTGGAAGATTGCCCCTCTCATGTAGTGCTCGCCCAAGAGCACCGCTTGATTTCGTCGGATGACATTGCGCAGGCCAGCTCGCGGCGCCTTCGCCGTGGATGGAAGTCGGTCTGGGCCCCAGCTGCCCAACGGCGGCGCGGGACACCAGCGGCGGAGTGGCGATCTTTGTTCGGTTGTGGATGGGGCGTCTCGAGGTCAAAGATGCCATCACGACGCCTGGGCGATGCATCGCACGTTCGGTTCACCTCCCCGGGGCCCCCCCGATCCTCGTGGCGTCAGCTCACCTTGGCCACTCGGAGGGGCTCAGTAATGCCAATCTCGGTCTCCTTGCCAAGCCTGGCACGCAATAATCGGACGCGGGCCAGCCGCGGGCGGTCGGTGCTGATTTCAATTTCGAGCCGTCGGAGCTCGAGTCCTCGTCCTTTGTGGCGGAGTCGAGGGCGATCCTCGCCGTTCCGTCTGTTGCCGCGCATTACCCGCGTGGCCCGCCCACCACGTTCGATTACTTCGTTCGTTCGGGATGGTTGTCGAGGCGCAGCTTGACACGGAGCCCCCGCCCCATCGGCCTGTCCAGCTGAAATTATTCCCCCAGCTTGCGGCTCTGAAGGCCTTGTCTTTCAGGAAGCCCCCCCCCCCCCCTTGCCCTGCAAAGCGGCGGCGGGCCCTCGTCCGCAGGACAGCAGTTGGGATAAGGAGCTGGCTCTTGCTGCGTCAGCCATGTTGTGTGTCCACGAAGGGGGCTACCAGGGGGCCAGGGACTTTTTGGGGCCTCTCCACCGTCAATGGGCTGACCACGCGGACAAGGACCTCATTCCTGTCGTCGGTCTTTCCCCCCAAAACTGGGCACTCGCGGTCTTGGCCCCCAGCTTGCGTGGAAGCCGATTCTCGCCAAGGACGGCCAAGCTCGCCACCCCGCCCATCGTGCCATCAAGTGGCTAGGGCACCAGCTTCGCGCTTTCATTCACGCTCGGCGAGGAGGTGATTATGCCACCTCTTCGAGGATGCGCTGTCTGCTGTTGGAGCCGCCGCCCAACATCGCCGCTTCTAAGTGCGAGTACGAGGCCCTCTTCAGTCGGGTGGCTCAGGAGGTCTCCGCCTTATTTATCTCGGATGGGGACGTTGACTCACTCGCTGATTTATATACTGAG